CTGATGCCCCAGGCGCCCTGGCCGGACTGCCCCGCAGCGCGGGGCAGCGGCGGCGGCGGCAGCGGCGGCAGGACGGGGGCGAGGAGGAGGAACGGGCGCCTACGGGGAGGACGAGGAGGACGGGAAGAAGGGAGGGCAGGTGCGGGTGTCAAGGGCCATGCGGGGGAGGGAGATCGATGCGGAACAGCAGCACAGGAGGGGGAATGTCGAGACCAAGCCCAGAAGAGAAGATCGAGCGGCCAAGGGCGAGACTTTTCGTGTCAAAATAAAGGAGGAGGCGCGAGGGAGGAGCGGAGGAGGATGGAGGGGGGGAAAAGCGGCGCGGATCCCCACCGGGTCGCCGTCCTGGTCTGCGGGGGCTGCGGGCACTGGGGCGCGGTGCGACGAAAGTGCCTCAGCCGGGCCCTGCCCCAGCCCGCGCCACACGGCTGGGCAAGGCCAACCCAACCGGCGGAGTGAGGTGGGCACGCGGCCCGACCCTCCCGCCCTTCCTAATGCCTGGGCCGCACTTGCTCCTCGGCGCCTACTCCAGGCCGCAGGATGCGGAGCGACGAAAGCACTTGGGCCAGCCGCCGGGCTACTTTTCAAAATTGGGCTCCTTTTCGCACTTGGGCTCTCGCCTTAGCGCCGCGCGCGCTCATCTAAACAACTTGCAGTACTAGCAAGGATAGAGGACGGCTCCCATGTCAGAAAAATGGCTTCTGCTCGAAACACCTGTGATTTCAAAGACCGGAGATTTGAACACATATGACTGCTGCACGGATGGAGGGTGGTTGTTCGTCACAGTGGGACTCTTGCTTGAGACGTCCTCGAAGGCCATGGCCAGCAGTGTAGACTTTCGCAGCAGTTGCGACAGATGGGACATGGGGAGCGGCCTTGTATTTTCACCGGACACCTCGTTTGACTGAGCGATGCCGTTCCATGCCGCTCGCCAGAAGTATGCAAGGCAGGTCTCTTTCAAAGCGGGGCTCCCGCCTGAACGGCAGGCCCAGAGGCTGCTGGTCTGTCAGGGTGGCGGTTCCTGTCTTTCCCCAGATCAGAGCTTGTCTTTCTGTAGGGATCCTAGCGGGGTCCTAGCGGATTCATATGGTTAGGTTCGGCTTGTCGCCGATTTTCGCTGCACGCCCGGGTGCCCGGGTGCACGGGGGTGCCCAGGGCCCGGGTGCCCGGGTGGTGCCCGGGGGCGCCCGGGTGCCTGGGTGCCCGGGTGCCCGGGCGTGCCCGGGGGTGCCCAGGGGTGCCCTATAGCCCTAAGCCCTATAGCCCTATAGCCCAGTAGCCCAATAGCCCTACAACTCTATAGCCCTATAGCTCTATAGCTCTATAGCTCAGTAGCCCTGTAGCCCCCTAGCCCTATAGCCCTGATGGGGTTTTTCTCCGGTATCATGAAGAGGAGGTTCTGTAGGGACCTGCGGCCAGGAACTTTTGCAAAGTGTGCTGCGGCGGCGGCCCAGGCGACACGCCGTGCCTTGCAAGCGATTGGCGTGTCTCTCCTCTCGGGACGCTGACGCCCAGGGACGGGGGCGTGATTGCCGTGTCGCGCCGTACCGTGGTGGGCCTGAACCGGCGGCGCGCCTCGTGAAGCGCAAGCTCCTGGCCTTCTGAGGACACTTGGGACGGGAGCGTGTGCTGCGGCATCGCTGACGCATCTTGGGCTTGCTCAGGTCCTCCTCCTCCTGTTCCTTCTCCTCCTCCTCCTCCTCCTCCTCCTCCTCCTCCTCCTCCGGCGCTCATGCGCGAGTCCCGCGCCATGGGCCACAGGGGGCTGCCGCCCGACCCCGCTGGGGGCTGCCCTGGCCCACGCCCTGCGCGCCGCCGGAGGAGCTCGAGAGGCTCACCGCGCGGGCAGCGGTGGCGCCCTTCCGTGGGGATGGGGCCGACGCTGCCGCAGCTGGTGCAGCCCACCGGCCTCCCCGTGCCCGTGGAGGCTCGGGTGCTGCTGCTGGCAAGGCGCCCGTGGCTGCGGCGGCTGCCAGGGGAAGGTGGGGTAGAACGACGCGAAGATCGGGACAAAATCGGATCGGGATAACTCGATCCTAGCCGTGTTATATGGGGCGATTTATCCCGATCCTAGCCGTGTTCTATGGGGGGAGCCACAAGGGCACGGCCCCTGGCACTGACCGGCCCGCCCACCGGCCACGGCGACGGCGGCGGGTGCAGCGGCAGCTTCGCAGGCCACCGCAGCCACAACGAGGCTGACGGCCCTGACGCAGCGGGGCGTGCAGGGCGGCGCAAGCGGCACTGCAGCCATTGCGACGGCCGAGGCGGATGGGGCGGAGAAGAAGGATGCTTGTCCTGCAGCAGTGTCGACCCATTGCGGCGCCTGGGTAAAGCAACGAGCGGCTCTGGTTGCCGATGGTGCAATCCTCGCTCAAGGGACAAATTCTGCACCATCGTGCTCTTCCGTGCGGCGGTGTGGAAGGAGTGCAGTCGAGTTCTCAAGGGATGCGCTGGCGGGCCTCAGCGCAATGATGGAGCGTGGGGCCCAGACACCTTTACCTGCTCCGACTTCGCTGTCTAAGCCCGACGATTGCTAACAGCACTAGGCCGCATGCTCTTGTCTTGCTGATCGAGCTGTGGAGTTTTCGTGCTGGCATGTTGCTCGCCCCCGCCTACCTGCATCACAACATCGGCATGATTCAAGTTTGCTGTGCAGCTGGTGGCGTTCTGTGTATATATAATTATATATTGTGTCTCTCACTCTGCTATCGGGCTTTCGGCTGGAGGAACATGAGCGTTGTCGTGGGCTTCGCAGCCGTGATACATCTCACATTCGCAGTAAGTGAACAGTCATTTTGTCTTGCAGCGGAGTGTCTCTGAGAACATTGTCGTGGCGCTCGGCCTCATCGACGTAGTGTCCGTGGTGTTCAGGGGGGAGCAATGCTATAGATATCGCTTCGCGATCGTTCCGATTCCGATCCCGATCCCGATTCCTCCTCCTCCTCCTCCTTCTCCTCCTCTCTCTTCTTTCTCCCGCGTCCTTCTCCTGCGCCCTCCCTCTCCCCCTTCCCTCCTGCCTCCTCCTTCCTCCCCCGCCCCCTCGTCCTCCTCCTCCTCCTCCTCCTCCTCCTCCTCCTCAGCCTCCTGCTCCTCCTCCTCCAACCCCTCCTCCTCCTCCTCCTCCTGCTCCTGCTCCTCCTCCTCCTCCTCCTCCTCCTCCTCCTCCTCCTGCTCTCTCTTCTTTCTCCCGCGTCCTTCTCCTGCGCCCTCCATCTCCCCCTTCCCTCCTGCCTCCTGCCTCCTCCCCCGCCCCCTCGTCCCTCCTCCTCCTCCTCCTCCTCCTCCTCCTTCTCCTTCTCCTCCTCCTGCTCCTCCTCCTACTCCTTCTCCTCCTTCTCCCCTCCTCCTCCTCCTCCTCCTCCTCCTCCTCCTCTCCCCTTCTTCCTCCTCTTCCCCTCCCTCTCCCCCCTCCTCCTCCTCCTCCTCCTCCTTCTTCTCCTCCTTCTTCTCCTCCTCCTCCTCCTCCGCCGCCTCCTCCTCCTCCTCCTCGTCCTCCCCCCCCCTCTCCTCCTCCTCCTCCTCCTCCTCCTCCTCCTCCTCCTTTTCCTTCTCCTTCTCCTTCTCCTTCTCCTTCTCCTCCTTTCTCCTCTCCCTCCTTCTCCTTTTCCTTTCTCCTCTATCTTCTTCTTCTCCTCCTCCTCCTCCTCTTCCTCCCTTCTCCTCCTTCTGTTCCCCTTCTCTCGTTTTCTCCCACTCTCTCTCCTCCTCTCCCTCCTCCCCTCCTCTCCTCCGCCTCCTCCTCCTTCTCCTTCCGCTCTCCTGTCTTTGTCGCCCCAGTCCTTCTACTCTCTCCTCCTCCTCCTCCTTCTGCCTCCTCCCCTCCCTCCTCCTGCTCCCGCTCCTCCTCCTCCTCCTCCTCCTCCTCCTCCATCTTCTGGATGTAGCGAAACATAAGGCGTGATGATAAGCGCGTGTCGAAAGAGGCCATGCCCATCAACTCTGGGTCCGCAGCGCCCGCTGGGTTCTGCACTGCCGGCGCTTCGATCATCCTACCCTGTGGAGCAGTCGTGCGCCCAATCTGCTCGAGGGAAGGCCGTGAGCTCCCTCCCCTCCTTCCACCCTCCTCCCTCGTCGTCGTCGTCGTCCTCCTCCTCCTCCTCCTCTTCCTCCTCTTCCTCCTCGTCTTCCTCCTCCTCCTCCTTCCTCCCTCGTCGTCGTCGCCCTACATCATCTCTCTTCCCTCCTCCCTCTTCTCTACACTCACACAATGTGAATACTGCTCTCCGCTCTCCCCTGGTGATGTCTGGGAAATGTTCGCCCCCCTCCGCGTACTATTTCTTACACAAGATTCCCGGGACATGTATTTTCGCTTGGGCTTTTTTCAAAATGCTGCCCTCGCTGAAGCGCTGGCCTCATTTTCGGGTTGCCGCTCGTTCCAAATCGTGCTCCCGCTGCAGCGCTGGCCTCATTTCCGCGCTTCCGCTCGTTCCGAATCGTGCTCCCGCTGTAGCGCTGGCGCCATTACTTCCAGCGCCATGCCACGGCATGGCGGTTTTCGGTCCTTCCAAGTAAGCCCCAAAATCTAGAAAATGCCCCCCCCCGAAAAACATTCGAAGTGATTCCACATTCGGTGCCGATTCGTTGATTTTTTGGGCCGCAAAAGCCCCCCCACTTTGGGGCGTCGCCACGCCATGCTATGTCATGCTACGCGTTCATCTGCAACACCATGCTATGCCACATAATGCTATGCCATGCGGCGACATCCGACGGTGCGAACAGAGAGGAGATCTGCGCCACGGTAAGGGGTGGGAGGGACGGGTAGGACGTCAGATATGATGCGAGCGCACCTAGCTTGCCTCTCTCCCCCTCTCTCCCCCCTCCCTCCCTCCCTCCCTCCCTCCCTCCCTCCCTCCCTCCTCCGTCCTTCCTCCCCTCCTCCCTCCCTCCCTCCTGGCTCCCTCCTCCTTCCCCTCCTTCTCCTTCTCCTCCCCCCCCCCATCGCCAGGACGTGAGAGGTGCGCCCGCCGCGCTGCTGGGGGCGGCCGCGCGCGCCAGCGCGCCTACCACGGCGACCGTGGGCGGGCTCTCCTGTCGGGCGGGCGGGCGGGGAGTGGCAACGATAGGGGGGGGACAGGGACAGGGGGGGAAACATCGACCCAGAATCGGCGATACATCGCCGATAGCTCGCCGATCGATCGGGGGGACCTTCAGGCGAGCGACGCTCAAACACGGCCCTTACGAGAGGTGACACAGCGACGCGGGTCGCTGGCGCGGCACGCCACATTGGAGACGAGGGCGCACGACCTTACGCGGGCAACTCTCGCGCCAACGTCGGCGCAAACGACCCCGCTCTTTTGCGTCGCCCAGGTGGCCCTCGGATGGGGTCCCAGGGGGGGGCTCGGTCACCACCCGCAGGAGGAGGAGGAGGAGGAGGAGGAGGAGGAGGAGGAGGAGGAGGAGGAGGAGGAGGAGGAGGAGGAGGAGGAGGAGAAGGAGGAGGAGGAGGAGGGGGGGGACGGCCCTCGGATGGTGTCCCGGGGGGGCGGCTCGGTCACCACCCGCACCCTCCTCCCCGGCGTGGCAACGAGCACGGCGGACGGGCTTCTGGAGCGCTTTGGCCTCGGGGGGCGCCCACGGGGCGCCGGGGCCCTCGACAAGCGGCGCCTCGGGGCGACGCGCCGGCTTCCCAGGGAAGTGCTCCGGGCCTCTGGGCCTTCGGGTGGCCCTCGGGTGGGGCGGAGGGCGGTTCTGTGAGCAGTGAGCGGCAGAGGTGGAACCTCTGCACAGCCATCGACTTTCGGAGCTCCGAGCGCTGCTGCCGATGCGTGGGCAACTTTTTTTGCTCCCCGCAGCGGACGGCACGATTCTAAACAGGGCCCGCTGGCGCCCGCCGGAAGACTAGGAGGGGAATCCCGCAGGGAGGGCGACAAGAAAAGCGGCATCGAAGCACTCTCGTGCGGCCTTTCCCGGGCAGGGCCAATCACATTCGAATCGAGAATCGGGTCGGGTCGGGAAATGCGCCGGCTCGGCCCGCATCGGCACGGATTCGACATCGGGTCGGATCGGCCGCGCCAGGATGCACAGCAACGCCCGCGTGCGAGCGTCCGGCCGCAGCGGCCCGTCGGCACAGCGGAGTGGAATCACGGACAGAGCCGGCCATAGCCGACATCGAAGCGGGATCGATCGGATCGACATGGACCCTGGGAGGGGGAGCTGCTCGCCCCTGTGATGCTGCCTCCCCGAGGAAACAAGGGAGGGAGGGGGAGGAGCCGGGGGAAGAGGAGGAGGAGGGGGCGGATCAGGAGGAGGGGGAGAATGGGGAGGAGGAGACGGAGATCCAGAAAGGGTGCGACCTCTCGTCCAACATCCCTTCCTATCCTTACGAGCATTCCTCTTCATCCTGGGAGCCGCCTCGCTTGAAAATATCGAATGGCCCATGGGCCTGCTCTGCAACCGAGAGAGCTCCGTTGTGAGAGAGACCGCGTCTCGCTGGCGCTTGCGCAGCAACATGTCCGATAAGGTCCGTTTCTCTCCCCCCCTTGAAGTTCAGACCCCGCCCCTTCCTGGCCTCCAGCGGCAAACGACGACGACAAGGAGGAGGAGGAGGAGGAGGAGGAAGAGGAGGAGGAGGAGGAGGAGGAGGAGCTCCTGCGGGTCCTGGACCAGGAGGAGAACAGCACGCACAGGCAGGCCCTGCCGAGAGACAGTAACGACTGGATGCCGGCTCCGATGCCGCGCACGGGCTCGCCGAGGCGCTTGTGCGCGCGTGCCCCCAGTCCTTGTAACTGGCCATCGCTCGGACGTCCATTCCCTGTGTTTCTTGGTTTCCTGTGTGGTTTTTTCGCCAAATGATCAAGGATGCTCCTCGATGGTCCACGCCGAAGAAAAAATGCACACGCCCGAGCGATGCCAAGTGTAGCACAGGCAGGCGCCTGGCACCCGCAGAGATCGGGAGGCAAGCGCAGGCCTCGGGAGGTCCGCGCAGATCTCCTGGAGATCGGCGCTGGGGACCCCCCCCCGCCTTGGCGCGCGCCGCGCGCCAGGGGCGGAGTCAAAAGGCCGTCTCTCCTGCGCCGACCCGAGGAGTCCGCGCGGACCTCCGACCATTTGTGTGGCATGCTACCTTTTTTTCGGCGGCAGCGCACAGGGGACTGCTCTTTGCGTCGTGTGACAATTTGTGCGTCATGCTACTTTGGCTGTAGGGAGCCTGCCGGGGAGGTTGGGTGGGCAATCACCCCCCCCACAGGAGCGGCGGCGGGCGAGGGGGGGAAGCGAGGAGGAGAGGGCCTTCCTTCTCAGAGGGCTCGGCAGTCTCCGGGCCTTCCGAGAAGTCTCCTGAGCTTTCCCCAAAAACGCAGGCAACCTCTCTCAGAAAGCGCGGGGGCTTCTGAGAAGTACCGCCGCCTTCTGAGAAGGCCGTCTCTAGAAGAAGAACACAACAACGGCATAAACAGAAAACTTTGGCGCTCCGCGCGGATTTCTCGCTGGAGGCGCCGCCAGGGGGGCCCAGGCGCCGATCCAATAAATCCGCGCGTAGCGCCCGAAATTTCTGTTTATGCCGTTCTTTGTTCTTCGAGGGAAGGCCTTCTCCTTGTCAGTTCCCCCCCTCGCCCGCCGCTGGATCCCCCCGAGGAGGAAGAGGAGGATGATGATGATGATGAGGAGGAGGAGGAGGAGGAGAAAGAGGAGGAGGAATATTACGAGGAGGAGGAGGCGGAGGAGGAGGAGAGAGAAAATGAGGAGTAGGAGGAGGAGAGGAGGGAGGAGGAGGAGGAGGAGGAGGGAGGAGGAGGAGGGGAGGAGGGAGGAGGAGGAGGAGGAGGAGTGAGGAGGAGGAGGAGGAGGAGGAGGAGGAGGGAAGAGGGAGGAGGAGGAAGGAGGGAGGAGGAGGAGGAGGAGGAGGAGGAGGAGGAGGAGCTACCCCCCCCTGGGCCAGAAAACCTTTTCAGACGCGCAGCGTGGCAGCGCGGCAGGTTACAAGGTTAAAGGCACGAGCTGACGTACGGCCGCCTGGGGCGGCTGCGAACAGTTACAGTTTGGTCTGGTGAGGCCTGGAGATCTCTCCCAAGGCAAAAGAGAGAGAGAGAGAGAGAGAGAGAGAGAGAGAGGGGAGGCAGGACGGGGTTCGGGACGGCGCAGCAAAAAACCTTGAGGGTTGACAACGGCCGCGGGGAGGAACGATCAATGCTGTGCACCGCGCTCTCATGATCTACCCCCCCCTGGGCCAGAAAACCTTTTCAGACGCGCAGCGTGGCAGGTTACAAGGTTAAAGGCACGAGCTGACGTACGGCCGCCTGGGGCGGCTGCGAACAGTTACAGTTTGGTCTGGTGAGGCCTGGAGATTTCCCTTATCCACGGAGTGGACTGCTTGAAAGGCGTTTATAAATTAAATCTGACAGCGCCCTAGTCAGTTCTTTAGGATAGGCTTGAGCACGTAGAATATTCCAATTTCCAGAACAATCCTTACCCTCCAAGACGGTATGGCGGCAGCCTGTACGAGAACATAACCCCTTCGACATAACAGATCTGCGATCTGCTGGAGAGAGATCAAGCCCGTGGGATAACAAGGTAATACTCTCTTTTGATTCCAAGCCTCTCCGTACTGACAAAAATCCAAGTGCACAAACGCGGGAAATAAAAACTCGGCCCCAAACAACGTCATCTTTGCGAGCTTTTTAATAGCGGGGGTCTTCCAGCCACGACTCGTGCGAGGGTTCTCGATAGTCCAGGGGATCCCAGCTTTAGACGCGGCCTGGCAACAACGCGCAGTAAACCACATCAACCGATTTCCATCCTTGACTGTCTTGGCGTCTTTTCCCCCAAGGCCCGGCAACCCCATGATAAACTTGGCTTCGTCCCGAAGTGGCCCTTGGCCGGTGCCGCCCCATCTTCTCGCTCTGCTCCAAGTATTACAGGGCAACCCGAACCAAAGACAGCCCACCCTCCTGCTTCTAATCAAGGCGAGGACACGCTGCTGGTTCTTATTCTCCAGCATATCAACGTCATTCATAATGTCCAAGCCCTCAGCTCGGACGCCGTGCCTTCTCAACGATGCGGTCAATCGGCCTGATCCCGAGAAAACCTCAAGGCAGCCTTGGCGACCAACGAGTCCCCATCGAGCTCCACCCTGTCGCGGAGCTGGAGATCTGCGCCGAGCTCTGATCACCTCCTTGCCGCCCTTGGCGGCTGCAGGGCGGCCTGGCGCCCCATCAGCACGTCGTCGAGAACGGCCGCGCACTTCTTCACATGGTCGAGGACGTGAGGCACGAGCATCGCGAGCATGTTCTGAACCTTTCCGATCTTGGTATACCGACGAACGGAGCTCTCGGTCTGCCACCTGCCGCGGGCCATAACCGCGGCCCTGTCCCGGTGCTTCCCGACGAGGTCGTGGGCGGCACCTCCGTGCCGGCACTGGTGCAGCGACAGGCGGTCGCGAAGTCCGAGGTCGAGAGCAGCTTCGTTCATCAAGTCGTTCACCTCCTTCAGCTGGAAGTCGAACATGAAGGCGTCCCTTGCTTTGCCCCGAGCTCGAGTGTGCAGCGCCGCGCCGAGGTTGGGCAAGTACCCCTGGTCGAGGATGAAGCTGTTGTCGAATACCCCGACCTTGTCTGGCACCTTCTCGTCGGACCCCCTGATGATCACCGTGTGTTGGCGGAATCCGTGCCCCGCTCCTGCCACCGGCGGGACCGCGTCCTTCGCGCGAATGCTCAGCCCCTCCGAGGGCCTCAGGTAGCATGCGAAACACACCGCCAGGTGCAGCGCCATGTCCTGCCTTCCCTGATGCGCCAAGTGCATCGCCAGCGCCGACAGGATGACCCACGGCAGCGGCAGCAGGCTGGTGGGCGGAGCGACCTTCCTCCATCCCTTCAACGCCCTCTGGGCCCGCACCAGCGACCAGATCTGGCCGCTCTTCGTGTGGGCCTCTGCAAACTGCACGGCCGCGATGGTCTTCTCCGCGAGCGAGGGGCCGTGCCCGTCCAGGAACTTCACGTCGAAATAGCCCACGAGCAGCAAGTCGGTCTGCGCCGAGATGGCCGTGGGCAACCCGTTCTCCATGCAGAAGTCCCTGAACTCCTTCAGGTAGAAGTCGTAATCTTGATTCGCCCTGGCCGAGACGCTGCGCTCCTCCAGGCGAGACTTCATGCCCCGCCACGCCAGCAGCTTCCCCTTCGGGTCGAGCGCCTCTTCGGCCTTCCTCCTGTGCGACGTCAGGTCGACCGCCGCCCGAGCCCCCAAGGGGGGCGGGGGGCGACGGTCCTCCTGGGCCTCCGCCAGCGCCGTCAGCAGGCGCTTCTCCTTGGGAGACATGTGGCGGTTGTGCTCCTCCTCGCCAGCGCTCCAACCCCGGAGGCTCCGGGGGCCAGTCGGCGCCGCCGCTGGCGCACGGGAGAGGGTCCCAGCTGCCTGCTTCCTGCCGACCAGCTGCCTCTCCTCGCTCTCGCGCGGCAGCAGCGCGGGCCCGGCGGCGAGCGTCCGCCCGCTCCTCACGGCGGGAGGGTTCGTCTGCAACATTGAACTCGCTGGGCACCCAGCGCGGCCAAAGGCGACTGTTGGTGGCGAGCAAAAGGGCGCCCGCCTGCTGGCATGCTGTGAGCAAATCATATGAGCACGCGCGGCCCTTGGACAGCGCGAAGCACAACCCCATGTTATCGACGAGCAACAAATGCCGCCTCCCAAAATTACGGTGAGCCCGAGAAAGACGTCTTAGCGCCAAGATGACCGTCCTACCTTCCTTGATCGTGATATGTTCGTCCAGGAACTTCCAGGTACCATGCAAAACGACGACCCAGGAATCCTGCTTCATGAGACCTAAAGGCACCTCGGGGAAATCGGGGTCCTCGGCGCGCGTGAAAGAGCCCCAATCTCCAGCATCGTCCCAAAGGCCCTCCTTGGAGACCCTGGGGGCCCAGACGCACCCAGCGGAAGCGAGGTCCTCTTGGGGGTCCAACCCTAGGGAACGAGACCTTGGGGCCCACTGGTCGGGCGCGAGTCTTTTGAAACGCCACCTCTCATTCCACCTCCCAATCCTTCGGGCGCTCTCCACATCAAGGTCGCGCTGGCAAACTCCGTGCCCCGTCGGCGAGGCATCGGTGCACGTGACAATGGGATTTCACTCCTGACGAAGATCAGCGACGGCGAGTGGCAGAATACCAGTCACAATACGACACTCTTTGCAGCAGCTCGGCCAGAGACGTTCGGGCTCGCAGCTCTGCGCCGCGAAGTCGTACAAGTGCCGCAAGACTGGGGGCGTGCTTCGATTCAACATAGCGATATAAATGTAGTGCCCGATAAGCCTCTCAACGGTTTTTGCGGATACCACAGGCCCGGTACTCAACCAGTCAAACACCACGATCAACTTCCAAAGTTTGTCGGGGTCCGGGCTGAGAGTGCCAGCGTCCCCATTTAGAGCCGAGCCCAGCACGCGGGCGACGAGGGGCGGTCCCGAGATGTCGTGTATGGTGAAGCCGTCCTGCTCCATGTCTCTCTGAACATCATCGCGCAGCTCGCCGGCTAGCTTGCACGAAAAGGCGCCCGCATTCAAATTATCACAGTACGCCGTGTAGACGCGCTCGCCTGCCTGCATGCTCGGGGCGGGGTGCCCGTCCACCAGAACGAACTTATCCGAGACCTCCCTGCGTGCGACTTGCATGTGATATTCTTGGGCCGACCAGAACGAGCAGGTAAAACCCATGGGCAGGACCTTCAAGCACATCGATACCTTCTCATCCAATCCGAAGTCACTCAATAACTCCCCCGATGCACCAGCTTCCAGAAGATCCCCGACGACGGCATCAACCTCGAACGCGAAGAAATCTGAAAGCTCATCGGAGATCCCGCACTCGTAGAAACAGTCCTTGATGTCACCCTCAGCCCAATGCAGGGCCTGACCTACGGGGATCTCCAGGTCACTCAAAGAACTTAAACCACCTAGCTCTGTGTGCGGAGGAGGGGCGAACATGAGATTACATTGCCGGCAGTCGAGAACCAAGCGTTGCATCCCCGACTTCTTTAAAACCGTGAACGCCCCGATTCGAGCAGCAGGGCGCCGAGTGGACCTCGCAGGTCCCCGAGAGGCCATCCTGGAGGCAAAAGCCTTGAACCCCCAGGGGCTCTTCAAAAGCGGGTCCGTGTAGGGGGGCGCTCGGGGTGCCTCGTCGGACTGCTGACTCCAGACCGCTGCCCCGGCGAGCATCTCGTCTTCAAAATTCCGAAGGCATTCCCGAGGCAAGCCTACCAAGACTGACTCCAATTCAACAGGCGAGCGCTCCACGTCCGGAAGCGAAAGTTTCTCCATAACCATGGGGGCCCGGGTGCCCTGCCCCAGGTCCCCTGCATAGTCATGCAGAAAAACCCGAATGTCCTGAAGGGCTCCTGGGCGGGTGGCACTCGGAGGCTTAGGGCCCAGCTCACGAACGCGCCCCATCAGATGACCGAGAGCAGCGCGCTGGCACTGCGGCAACGTCATCGGGTCTGAGACGGCAGGAGGGGCGGGCACATCACGAGCACCAAAGTGCATCGAGTTGAGAGCGTCCGCCGACTTGTTGACTGCAGCGGCCCTGGCCCACCGACGTGTCAGGCGTCGCGTCGTCGAACGGCACATCCGTCGCAGGTCGCCTCGTCGCCCCTCGGCGAGTCGAGGCAAAGGGGATATGTCGCGGTACCTGCTCGGGGCGTTCTCTCCCTGAGCAAAAGCGGCCTCGCTGCGCGGCTTGGCCATGACTCAGGACAGGTAGTCGCGGCGAACGGGAAGAGTCGAAGCCCGCCCTCCGCGTGCTGCGCAAAGGCTCTGGGGGGGCGCCGAGGTGCGGTCGAGCCAATCCGCACCTCAGATCCTTCAGACTAGCCAGCCCCGGCGGCGTCGGCGCCAGCTCCTCCGCCCCAGCCGCCGCGTCCGCGGCCGCGCCCAGGTGCAAGCGAGCGCGCCTCCGCCGCCTTGCGCTTCTCCTTCGAGATGGCCGCCTCAGCCCGCGGCCGGTCCGACGCATGGGCAGTCAGCGCGGGTGACACCAGCGCTCCCACTGCTCGCATCCCGTCGCCCATGAAATGAGCTGCTCCCTCGTAGCTCGGAGCACTCGGGTTGGCGTGGTGAGCTTCGGCGATCAACTGGCGCCTGCGGGCCACTGCCTCCATGTACGCAAGGTTCATCACGTTGAGCCCGTCGTACGTCACCGCGAGCTCCTGCCCCAGCGCCAGGTTAGCATCCTCGTGGACTGAGCGATCTCCATCCGGTATCTTTGCCTCCGAGAGCCACTTCGAGTGCTGCGCCCGTGGCCCTTCAGCCAACTTGATCATCTCGCGGCACATCCACTCCGTAGTCCGAGGGCCGCTCAGCGGCCAGTCGTCGAACTCCGTCACGGTCATCTCCTGCGCCGACTGCCTGAACTCTCGCCTTCGAGTCCCGTCGGGCCCGTACCTCACCGACAGCGTCCGCACATCGTCACCGACCGCCTGGTCCTGACCATGCGTCGCCGTAGCTGCTCGGCACCACTTGATCCGCTTCTCGCAGAACGTGTCGATCTCCGCCTGGTAGTTATTCAGCTGCTTGACCAGAACGGGCCGCGGGATCTGCATATTCGGCAGCACCATGAGTCCGTAGCCGTTCGCCTGGGCCGCGCCTGCGGGCATCGTGACGATCTCGCCGATGCTATGGCCGTCCACGTGCTCTGCGAGCACCCACGCGACGGCAGGGGCCGCTGGCCCAGCGCCGCCCGCAGCGGCGCCTGCCACGCGGCCGGCTGGGCCGCCCGCGACACCCGCGAGTCCCCCTCCGCCGCGGAGGGCGACGACGCCGACCGCCTCGGCTAGCAGCTGGTCCACCTCCGCGTCGGTCGGCGGCTGCTGGAAGCGGTACAGGCGCGCTCCACCCAGCCCGAGCGGCAGCTCCCCGTTGTCACCGAGGAACCTCACCATCTCGAACACGTTCTGATCACTCATGTCCTCGTCGTACACATCGAAGTCTGGGGTCGCAATCGTGACGAGCCCTCCTACCGAGCCTCCTACCATATCATTCAGGAAGACACGCTCGTGTGACAAGTCCTCGCCCGCGCCCGCGTACTTCACCAAAGCCCGTCGAAGCGTCGCTCCCCCTGGTCCCGTCGGCAAGGGCCACCCGTCCGCTCCCCGGACTCGAGGACCTGGAGGAGCTGGTGGCCCGACTGGAAGCCCAACTAGCGCCATACTGAACGCACGTGACGGTCACCTGCACGAAGGAGAAGAACAGGCAGACCACTGCACACGCGATGAACTGCCACGCCTGGTGACCCCCGCCGCTGGGAGCCGACACCGCCTCACACTGACAGTGGCAGTGGCAGATCGGCTCCGGGATGTCTGGGCACCTGACCTCCGCTCTTCCCGCCGCCCGTGCGGCCTCCGCGGCGTCCGAGAAGACGCCCCGCAGGACCCAGGCCGAGAAGGCGGTGACCACGCTGCTGGTCGCGACCTGCACCGACGCGGTCGAGGCAAGGAAACCCCAGATCATCAACCGCGGGGACGGTCCGTGCGCTTCTGTTGCGCAGCAAAAAACCTTGAGGGTTGACAACGGCCGCGGGGAGGAACGATCAATGCTGTGCACCGCACTCTCAGGAGGAGGAGGAAGAGGAGGAGGAGGAGGAGGAGGAGGAGGAGGAGGAGGAGGAGGAGGAGGAGGAGGAGGAGGAGGACGAGGAGGAGGAGGAGGAGGAGGAGGAGGAGGAGGAGGAGGAGGGGGCCAGGACCGCCCCACGGGCCCGGCCCGACGGCGAAGCCGCCGCCGTCCGACGACGACCGCGAACGACGAAGGCTGGGCGGGGCGCGCCCCTGCCGACGACGACGGCGACGACGACGACGACGACGAGCGACAAACGACGACGGGCGACGAGCGACGAGCGACAAACGACGACGAGCGACGACGACGAGCAATGACGACGACGACGACGGGCTTTTGCGGACCCCCGCACCGCTGCCCGGCTCCTGGGACAGCGGCAGGATGCCGCCCCGGTTCTTCAGGAGCACGAGGGACTGGTCGGCGGCCTCCTTCGCCACCGCCCTCCGCGCGCGGGCGTCGGGCTCCCTGGCCGCGTCCTGCCGCGGGGCGCCGCGGCGGGGGCGGGCGCGGCGGCGGACGGCCCGCGGCGCGGCTGCCGACGAGAAGCAGCAGGCCGAGGGCTGGCACGATGGCGACGGCCACGACGGCGAGGCCGAGGATCCCGTCGACGACCACGACGACAGCGACGACGAGGCCGGGGCCGCGCTGCTCGGCGCGCGCGCGGGTGGAGAGGTGGCGAGGAGTGGCGGCCTTCTGCGGGGGCAGGGGCACAAGAAGGAACAGCGGCATCAGCACTTTTAGTTTTGATGGGTCAATTTTCCACCACCACTACCGCAGTTAGGACGGGGGAGAAGGGAGGATGGGGAGGTCCTCCTCCTCCTCCTCCTCCTCATCCTCCTCCTCCTCCTCCTCCTCCTCCTCTTCCTCCTCCTCCTCCTCCTCCTCCTCCTCCCTCCCCTACCTATGGTCATGGTGGTGGAAAATCGGCCCGTCACTTGTGGCGTCGCGGCCACGCGCACGGACCAGGCCAACTCACGCAAGCGTAGAGAAGCTGGACCAGCCCAAGAGGATCGACAGCAGCACTTGCGAGGGGCAGTCAAGAGGGGAATACGGGCAGGGGAAGCGGAGGGAACAGGAGGAAACGCAGAAAGATGACAGGACCAGTGCACCAGTGACGCCCGAGGCCAGAAAGCATGGCGCAGTACAACTGCATAAACACATGCGTTTTCGGAGCTCCGCGCGGATTTCTCGGATCGGCGCTTGACCCCCCTCTCTGGCGCGCGGAGCTCGCCGGGGCGGCGCCAGAGGCACCGCCAAGGGGCCCAGCGCCGATCCGAGAAATCCGCGCGGAGCTTCGAAGAGGTGATTGTCTGTGCAGCTGCTCACTGCTCGGGGGGGGCGTCGTCGCAAGAGGCGCTCGTGGCAGGGGCGGGCCTCCTGGAGAAGGAGAGGAGGAGGAGGAGGAGGAGGAGGAGGAGGAGGAGGAGAGTAGGAGGAGGAGGAGGAGGAGAGGAGGAGGAAAGGGAGGAGGAGGAGGGGGAGGAGTAGGAAGGAGGATGAGGAGGAGGAGGGGAGGGCGGAGAGGAGGATGGAGGAGGAGGAAAGGGAGGGGGAGGAGGGGGAGGAGGGGAGGAGGATAGGAGGGAGGAGGAGGATGAGGAAAGGGAGGAGGAGGAGAAGGAGGAGGAGGAGGAGGAGGAGGAGGAGGAGGAGGAGGAGGAGGAGGAGGAGGGCCCGCGAGAGGGCGCCCCGGCTGCACGGGCGCCTTCCGCCCACGCGGGCCTCCGAGCGCCGAGACCGCGCTTTTCCCGCGCGCCGCTGCGGCACCGCCTGCGGGCCCAACGGTGCGGCCGCTCGGCGGTGCGGGGCTCTGCCCCGAGCCGAGCCCGTCAGCTCGAGCCCCATCTGTAAGAGGCACCCCGGGAGACGCACACGTGAGCACAGGGCAGTGTTGAATACATCGGATTTTTCTTCAACTATTGGATTTTAATACATGATTAATGCATGAATCAATTTGTGCATGAACTCATTCGTTGGTTTTGATATAAAACCCGGCATTGTTAATACATGATCCGCACGCGGAGCATGTATTAACAAAAAACGGCACTGTAGACACAAACTCCAGGAGGCCCCGTGCTTGTCGACACGACATGCGCTTTCGCCCTCTCCCCGCCATGTCCCGCACGTGTGCCCAGATCTCAACCGGGGATCAGCATCTGTTTGGTGTCTGTGCCTACCTTTCCCCCCCGAGTCTGGGCCGACCGGAGCGTGGGCACCGAGAGGCCCCCTTGGCCTCTGCCACCTCCGCGCAAAACGGGAGCAGCCGCTCGACGTCGGCGGCGCTCGGGGGGCGACGTGGGCCGAGATCGGCCCTCCCCTCCCCCGGAGCGACGCCGCCGACATCCTGGACACAGTCAGAAGCGATGAGGGTGTCCTCGTCCTCCTCGTCCTCCTCCTCGTCCTCCTTCTCCGCCTCCTCGTCCTCCTCCTCTTCCTCCTCCTCCTCCTCCTCCTCCTCCTCCTCCTCCTCCTCCTCCTCCTCCTCCCCCTCGTCCTCCTCCTCCTCCTCCTCCTCCTCCTCCTCCTCGGAAGGCACGCCCATGCCGAAGCTTGTCGAGCGGGGCTGGCCATCGAAAATGGTCGAGGATGGGCCGAAGAGGCAAGGATGCACGGGTACGCTTGGGGAAGGTTACCCATCGTTTTCGACTGTATGACTCCGGTGTTGCTACTCCAGGGGCTCCAACATTGAGCGAAAGGCCAGGGGCGTCTTGGTCCAGGGGCACCTTGAACAGCCTCCGAACGATGGCAGTCGGCCAAGCCTTCCGCTGGCGCACATGCTCTTGCTTCATCTGCCTCCTCTGCCCGTGAAGGCCGCTCACGCATCATCGCTCCCACCTCCTCCGCCCATCACCTCGTCCACTTGGCTCGCCCACTGTCCCTGGCTGGCTCCCCTGGCTCCGCCCAAGTACTGCTCGAGGCCATGGACCGCTCCAGGCCCCCCCCCCCCCAGAGGAGAAGAGAGAGAGGACCGGAAGAATCGAGGAGGCAGGAGGCCACAGAGCCGCGAAGATCACCGACTCTGGAGCCCCCCGCATCGGCGGCACTGGCTGGAGGCCACTGCAGTACTGCTCGAGGCCACGGACGGCTCACTCTCAATCCTGGCCATGCCTGGAGGGCCGGACGGCCGCGGCTCCGCGGGGCGGACGGCTGCGTGCGTCGAGCCGGCTCGAGGTCCCCATGGAAGCTGCAGGAGGCCTCTGGAGGCCTCCGGAGGCTGGAAGCCAGCCCCCAAGGGGTCAGAGTGGCAGGACATCGTCTTCCTGGCTTGTCCAGGACGCTGCATGCCTGGGGCACTCCCTGGCAGCACCCGAGACTCGCTGCTGCAGACTTGAAGCCAGCCCCCAACGGGTCAGAGTGGTAGGAAATCGTCTTCCTGGCTTGTCCAGGACGCTGGACGCCTGGGGCACTCCCTGGCAGCACCCGAGGCTCGCTGCTCCGCGGTGTGAAAGGCCACCGCAGGGTTGGCCGGAGCACGTCGGGTCGGAGGGCCGAACACCGCAGCGCCGCGGCGTCGCGGTCTTCCATGGGCAAGACGGGGCTCCAGAGCGCGCCGCAGCGCCGATGCTGGAGAAGCGAACGGCACACACTTTTGGTCGGCGGGTCGAGAGCGGGCCTCTTCCGGTTAGGGGCTAGTCGGGGCGCGCGAAGCACTAATTGGGGCGAACGGCACACACCACACACACACACACACTTTTTGGTCTGCGGGTCGAGAGCGAGCCTCTTCCGGTTAAGAGCTAGGCGGGCCGCGCAAAGCTCTAATTGGGGAGACAACCAACGGCACACACACAAACTTGCGGAGCTCTGTGCGCATCTCTCGGATCGGCGCTGGCCCCTCCCCCTCCCCGGCGCGCGCGCAGAGCGCCAGGGGCGGCGCGGGAGGCGCCGCCAGGGGGGGGGGCCCGGCGCTGACCCAAGAGATCCGGGCGGAGCTCCGACAAATCTATGCTTATGCCGCTGCTTGTTCCTCTGGCATTAGGTCGGGCATGTCCCCCTACGGGCGGATTTTGAGCGAAAAATGGAAAATATTAAAAAGTACCCCAAAATAGTTGAACAACTAAAACAATCGTCCCCAGACTATTTTTAGAGTATTTTTGAATCTTCCCCCTGTAGAGGGACGCGCCCGACTCAACTCTGGCATCGGCGATGCGGCGCGACCCTCCGACCCCGTGTGCTCTGAGCCCGTTGGGGCAGCATGGGCGCGGAGGCCGCGGCGGTGCAAAAAAGCGCTGGGGCTGGGGTGGCAGGCGCCTCCGCCATGTCGCTGAGCAGGCCCAGGCTGAGCTGCACGCGCAGCACGCGCTCCACGGCGGCGTCCAGCAGCGACTCGTTCACCTTTACAGGAGGGCGCCGCGCGTACCCTGAGATCCGGGCGGTGCATTTTTGTTCGAGCTGGGCGTTTTCGCCAAATTCCGGGCCCTAGGACCATCACAAATCGATCGATCCGGCTTGAGAAATGCAGTAGACAAATGGGACTCCAGTCGTGATTTTACACGATGTTTTTTTCTCGCGACGTCGGATCTCCAATAACAGCTACGGTCGGAATCGTTTGCTTCGCGTGTCGCGGCGGCGGCCGCGGCGACACGCTATGCCTGGCCAGCTGATAGCGTGTCGCTCCGCTCCGCGGGCTGGGAGGCTGGAAACAACTCGGTAAGTTTGCGCTTGTGGAAACGGGACGTGGATAGCGTGTCGCGCCGAAGTGTGGTGGGCTAGAACTGGCAGGGCGACACGCTAAGCCAAAATTTCTGACCGTATACACCTACACCGACGACCCAGGCAAGGTCCATCCTGGGCAGGATTGGCCCGGCAAGGATTGGCCTACTATTTGTTATGGAACCGAAAAAATACCGCAATAAAAACCTTGCACAGCCTTGGCACAGCCCCATGCGCACTCCGGTTCTGGGGGAGGCTCGGGGCAGAGGTTCGACGTTGTGGACTTTTTCGGTGGTCTTCTGGGCCTCTGTGGGCCTCAAGAGAGTCCCTGGGCAAGATCCCGAGGCCCACAATGTCCCGAGGCCCCTGGAGGCTGCTGGAGACCTCTGGACACTTCCGCCTCCTCCTCCTCCTCCGCCTCTGTAAACCACGCCAGGACCAGGATTTCTTTTCTGGCACGTGGAGGCCGCTTCCCAGCCTCCAGGCCGTCCGCAAACTCGACGCAGAAAGAGAAGCGGGCCGCAGAGAGAAGGGGTCGAAAGCTCTGGGCTTCGGGGCCACACAAGCGTTTGGTGACGGACCGCGTGGTGCCCCGGGAACCCCCAACAACCTCACCGCGCGGTCCGTCACCGCACGGCTCTGGGACCTGGGAGGCCCCAGTTGCCCGAGACGCCCCCCGAGAACGACCCGAGTCCCCAAACCGTGCGGTGACTTCGCATCCTGCCTTGCCTACAGGCCCGCCGGTTTTAAAGTTCTAAGCGCCTTCAGAAGTTTGCACGACATGTTCTTACAGCATTTCTGGCTGGGACTGTTTTGTTCTTAAAACATTACAAGGGTCTTGTTCTTGTCCTTAGAACATTCTCGGGTTCTACAAATTATAAACACCTCGTGGCAGGCCTATAGGAATGCCAGGACGGTCGGCCGATGCCATGCTGTCCCGCGTCTGAGAGCCCGACCGCGCGCGCTAGGTCAGTGCCGGCTGCTCTAGCTGCTCCGCCTCGTCGCTGCGTGCGAGGCCGTGCCCCCGTAGGCTGCGCCCACCTGATTCCCCCCACCCCGAGGCTGCTCCCGTAGGCTGCCCCATGCACGAGCTGCACCCATAGGCTGCCCCCATCCATAGGCTGCCCTCATATATTGCCCCTAGAGGCTGCCCACGCAGGGTGCCCGACCGCCCGGAAGTGTGTGTGTGTGTGTGTGTGTGCGTGGGTGCCAGGTACGCGCGCAAGGCCGCCCTCAACTGCCAACTCGAGCTCCTCGACGGCGTCCTCGTGCGCTCGGACGTCGACCCTGCCCTCATCGCACCTGGGCGCAAGCCCGGTGCCTCCCCTGGCGCCCAGTCGTCACGGCCTCCTGCTGACGACGACCGCGCTCGCGACCCTCTCCCACGCTCGCCAGCCGCGGCGGCCCTGTCCCTGTTCCCGCCCGCCAGCGGGATCGACTGGGCAGACGCGAGCGTTCTCGCGCTCGAAGCAGCGTTGGAGATGTTCATGGACGGCCCTACCGCGGCCTCCGCGCTCTCCCTTTTCGTCGCCATCCACGTCCGCAAATACTAGGGGCACAAAAAGTGGCATACATTATCCCAGTGCGACCCTACCTAGGAGTTGGAGCGTCTAGGAAAGCAACATCTACATCTACACCGAGAGCTACATTAACATCTACACCTGCATCTACATCTGCATCAACATCAACAGCGAGACTCACATCTACATCTACAACTACACCTACATCTACACCTACATCTACATCTACATCTACACCTGCACCTACATCTACATCTACATCTACACTTTCGCTTTGGTTTTGTTTTTGCTTTGCATTGCCTTGCCTTTGCTTTTGCTTTTGCTGTTGCTTTTGCTTTGATGTTGTTTTTGCTTTTGCTTGATTTTGTTTTTGCTTTGCCTGCACACAGACACACACACACACACGAATGTTTCGCATTCGCTCACCGGGTGTGCTTGAGAATGCTCCGTACCCTGTCTACTACCGCACTGCTCGCGGGGGCTCCGGTCCGGCCATCGAGGCTAGCTCGGCATCTGTCGCACATTGCTTTTGCTTTGCCTTTCCTTTGCTTTGCTTTTGCTTTTGCTTTGCTTTGCGTTGCTTGTGCTTTGCTTTGCTGTCGCTGCTGTTGCCTTGCCTTTGCTTTGCTGCTATGCTATGCTATGCTATGCTCTGCTATGCTATGCTATGCTATGCTGCGCTGTGCTATGCTGTGCTGTGCTGTGCTGCGCTATGCTATGCTATGCTATGCTGTGCCATGCTATGCTATGCTGGGCTATGCTATGATATGCTGTGCTGCGCTATGCTATGTTACGCTATGCTATGCTGTGCTATGCTAAAGCTCAGCGAAGCTAAGATGAAGGTAAGCTAAGCTAATATAAACCTGAACTAAGATGAAGCTAAGCTAAGCTACGATGAAATCAGCTAAGCTAAGATGAGATACGCAACGCTAAGCTAAGGGGACGTAGCTGGGGGAACCGCGGGGCCGATGCCGGGGGAACCGCCCGGGGCGGGCCCCACTGCCCGGTCCCTTTAAGACAGAGAGTAAGAACCGTCCTAGGCAGAGCCTAGGTAGGGAACATAACAACTCGGAGGTCCGCGCGGATTTCTCGGATCGGCGCTGGACCCCCCTCCCTGGCGCGCTGCGGCGCCAGAGGCGCCGCCAAGGGGGCCCAGCGACGATCCGAGAAATCTGCGCGGAGCTTCGAAGAGGTGATTGTCTGTGCAGCTGCTCACTGCTCGGGGGGGGCGGCGTCGACAGGAGGGCGCTCGTGGCAGGGGCGGGCCTCCTTGGAGGAGAAGGAGGGGGGGGTCAAGCGCCGATCCGAGAAATCCGCGCGGACCTCCGAGTTTTTATGTTCATGTCACTCTTTGTTCCCCCGAAATGCAACCCCATCAGACGCGAGCACTCTCGCGCTCGAAGCAGCGTTGGAGATGTTCATGGGCAGCCCTACCGCGGCCTCCGCGCTCGCCCTTTTCGTCGCCACCCACGTCCGCAAATGCAACCCCATCAGCCGCCCGCTGCTCGTCCACTGGTGGGGCCTCCAGGCGCAGAGCCCCGGCGGGTGCTGCCGCGACCTGCCACCTGGGCACCTGCGGCGCTCCTCTGTCTTTGTCCTGAGGCCTTCGGCCTCGCCGCCGACGACGGGGGCTCCTGTGCGGGGCGTGCTGTCGAAGGGGCGAAAGGACACACAAACAAATACACACAAATACAAAGATTCCCCATATTTTCCTATATTTCCTGGGTTTTTGCCTTCCCCCCCACTTCCCATATTTTCCCGTATTTCCCTGGGAATCGACGATTCATTGTGTCTGTGTGTTTTTTCCCCTCCTGAGCTGTGCAGTCCAGGACCATCCCGCCAGCGGGTTGCGGCCCAACCCGAGCCTCCCTCGCGCGCGGGACGCCGCGCTTTCGCGCGCGTTTCCTCACCGACGACGCGCTGAACTGCCGCTGCCGCCGGCGCCCCGCCACAGACCGGCTCGACGTCGCGAGGAAGCGTCCGGCCAGGCAGTGCGGCACCGTCAGCATCGCGATCTCCCCCTCGCACTAGTGCGGGGCATCGGCCGGTTTTCCACGGCGCTCCTCAGCTGCCGCTGGCAGGGCCAGTGCCTCGCTCCCACGGCCGACCTGTCCGAGCGCGGCGACACCTTCGAGGCTCTTCTCAGCCTCCTCGCCGCCGATAGCAGGCGGGTCTGCGCCCAGGGGCGCTCCGATACGCGCGCGTCGGAGGCTGGGCGGCGCGCAAGCGCCGTCCGCGCTTGCGCGGCGCTGGAGGCCGTCTGCGGGGCTCCCCTTCGCACCCGGGCTCCGCGCGGCCCTTCTCGTGCAGTCGCCCCGGCGCCTCCCCAACCGCCGCTGCAAAGTGTGCGCCAACCTCCTCGACGTGGGTTGCGCCGACCTCCCTGCGGTGGCCGCGGACGACCCGCTCGCCTTCCCCCGGAGGTTCGCGGGGCGGTTCGGGATCCCGCGCTCCGCGCCCCTTCACCTGTCGACGGGCCCCCCCTCGGCCTACCGTGATTCACCGATGACCTCTCCCACCCGGCCCGCCCCGCGCTCCAGTGCGACGCGCGCGGGGCCTGTTACGCCTCTGGGGGCGAGTGTGGCAAGCCCTCGGGGCGCTGGGCGTTAGTGGAGCGTTAGTCGCCGCGTCTGCCAAACGCCAAGTCGACCTGAGTGGCTTGTGCTCGGCTGCGTGGTTGCGCCGCGGCTGCGCTGACCTTCTCCCGCCAGACAGACCAGACCAGGGCGACCTCCCCTCCCAGCTGGCAGCCCCCGGCTCGTCGCCCCTCTCCCTGCCTAGGTGCTGGGCCGCGATCCCCCTCATCTCCGGCGACAGGGTGGTCCGCCAGATCTTCGGGCCTGACGGGTGCAGGACCCCCCCGACAAGCCCGCGGCAAATGCTCGCCGCGATGCTCGCAAAAGGAAGCCCCGAGCAGGCCCAGACGCCGCTTCCAGTCCGGTGCACATTCGACAACGGGTTCGGATCACTCCAAAGGCCCATCAGATTTCGGTGCGACTTTTGTGCCTGTGGAGTCCAAATCCTGTTTCTCTCTGACGCCACTGGCGGCGGCGGCCCCGTTGGCTCGTTCGTGTTCCGTGGTGTTCCTGACCGAGGCTTCGCTCTCCTGGGCGGTCTCCCGCGCTGGGTCGACCTTGGCGCGGCCTGGATGGGCGCGCGTCG